TTGTTTTTTTTCCGCATCGCACCAAATTCTGCTATTGAGGTTTTCCCAAATGCCTTTATTCTAGCTAATTCTTCAAAAAAAGAAAAATGGCAAAAAGCGCATTCAAAGTTATGTAATTACATGGATAATGAGAGAAACAGTGGTGGATCTTGATTCTCCTGGACGACATAGCTTTCTGAAAAATGTAAATTCTAAAAAGGTTTAAAAATTAGGCTGTGTTAAAGCTGAGATACTTAGTTTTCTTTAATAAATAATACAGTACGTTTGTCCCAAAAGAGAGCATAGTAAAAGTAAAATTGGCAACATTTAAATGACTGGAAAACATTATCTTTTGCATACTAGTAAAAAGAGCCTTGTGCGTAACTTTTTGACGCTTTGGGTTTTGTTAGCGACTCTTTGTCACTTTTTTGTCTGAAAAAGATTATCTAAAGCTGTGACAGAGGCCAAAAATACATGCAGGTGAAAACTAGTGATAAACTAAATAGTTTTGAGAGCGAGGAAATGACTGTCCTTTTTTGTATGTATTACCATTTTTTCAAATTGTTTGTGGTTTGAAACTTAGGTACCTCAGCTTTAACAGAACAAATAATCAGCCCTATAAATTGTAGATTGATCAGATAACTTCATACAGTTTACAATTGCTTCATCCCCTAATCGTGTCTATATTGAAACAACGGTTGGAAATCCTCTAAGCCTTAAAAAAAAGTAACAAAGAAAAGAGATAATATTTCAATGAAAAACCTATTCAGACTTATGTAATTAGATGGATAACGAGTAAAACAGTACAGTCTGTAAGTTCGGTCGCTGGCGGGTGCCCAGTTGGTCTTTCTCCGGCCAAGTCCTTCACCCCGGGACAGCTGTCATGGTAGGAGGCTCGTACTTGAGGGAAAGCCAGGAAAAAGAAGAGAGAGAGAGAAAAGGCAGCGTGCCATGGGGTGATCCCCGATGGCAGCGGAGGATACGGGACTAAAGGCCGGAAAACCCCACGCGAGAAAGATGCAGCTCCATGTGTTTCAAAAAGCTTTAGTCTTGAGTTTTGAATTGGCTTTTGAGTGGTTTGGTTCTGGTGTGGTCAAGCTGCACAAGCCTCTGATTTGGATTTAGACTTGTTCCTGGTTTGGTAAATAACATTGTTCAATAGATGTGGATGTGGATACATGTTTACAATAGTCCAATTTAATGAATGGAATCCGCTTGTAGTTATTAGTAGTTAGTTCATATAACAAAACATTCTGGTTTCAATGCTTATCATGCCTTTATTAATTTTGCAAAGTTTTAGATTTACGTTTTATAATTGTGTTGCATTTTTTTCATAGGGTAGGGTTTTTTTAGGAGGCTCTTGCTCTATGGTTAGTGGGTCAATCGTATAAGGTTTTAAATATATATATATTATCGCTTATCGTCTTCTTTATCAAGGCATTCGAAATTTTGGGAAAACCTCAAATGCTTCCAATCCACAATACTCAATAAGTTTTTGGGTCATTTTGTTCATGACCGATGACAGACGAAAATAAACTAAACTAACTTCAAACAAATGTGTGTTAAGTTTGAGTTTAGATTGAGTTTATGTGTGTGAGATCAGAAAATGTCATATTTTATCACCAGACCTCTCCACGCAGTAAGCATCTCACACAAGTAGAGATAGGAGACAAACACCAGCAGAATTTTTAATGTAGTGAAATGTATCCCAGACTTTATTAAAGCTGAGGTACTTTTTTATTTGGAGCAAATCAGAACACAACGATCTGTCTTCATCGTTTTATAAAATGCACTATTTTTATGTTTTTAACTTGAACTGAGAATGTATTTGGACTCTGTAGCAAACAAACAAATCTTGGATCTAAAGAAGAAATATTATGCATTATTTTTTTAGTTGTTAGCAATTATAATAAATGAGACTCTTGAATGAGACATTATATTATTACAGGACTGAGATAGGAGGAGAAGGTGCAGAGTTCCATGTTTGTGCCAGAAGTTTTTGATCTTGGCATGAACGAATCTAAAACCCTGAATTTCTCCTACAGGGGATCAAAAAAGTATCAATCTATCTATCTATCTGTCTGTCTGTATCTATATATCTATCCATCTATCTACAAAGAACGCCAGGTCTGTTTTGGATGAGGGAACAATGTCGTAACATGCCTAAAAACTTCAAATAAAAGTCAATTTAGCTACAAATATGTCTCCGTCAAAGCAGGGAGACCACCAGCCCAAGCCAAACGTCGGGAGACATGAGTTGCCAGGAGCCGTGGTCTGACCTCAGCTGACAAGGTCAACAAGGGGGGCTTACGATCCTGCCACGCCACCCCTCCTTTAGGCGCAAACGTCCTGCTGCACGCGCCCGGGGCCTGTTTCCACTGATCTGCTTTGCTCAATTAAACTTCAGAGGACACCCAGCCACATCTCTCCGCAAAAGGTCTTGACCCGTGGCCCAAAGGTTAAGTCTGGCGCTCGTAAAACAGGGTGTCCGTTAACAAGGGGAGCATGTATTGAGAAGGTAATTCATCCATTTCCACAAACTATCATGACGGTGTGAAAAGAGTTACGTCAGGGGGATGTAGAGGGTGGGGGGGGGCTGGATAATGATGTTTTATGGCCGTGTTAACTTTCAGCCCGAGAGTAATGGGAAAGCTGCTTGACCTTGACTTCTATACTCAACCAAAGGATAACCAAAGCTATTCTCCTGACTGCTTTCAACCAATGGGAATGTCCCCTGATATTTCACCATCCATTGGCAGCAAGAGTTCACTGACCTATCTAATTGCGGATTGAGTGAAACTGAAGGTAAATGTAGTGTTTTGAAACACACGCTCTATACCGTGTTGTGCGAACTGTAAGTAGAAAAACAAAGACCAAACTGTTAAAATGAAAAATATATATATGATGATTCTATACTTTACAAAATGTAACATGCCCTACCAAGAGAGATACTGGGCCTGTCACTGTGTGAAACAAAAAATGGTACAAAAAATCATTGTGAAAGAGGTAAAACAATTTTCATTCTTGCCAGGGTGGTTTTAGTATCACTTGATTATTAAAAAAGTGTCAGAAACTACAACAAAGTAGAAGAGATGAAGCAGGGTTTGTGTTGAACGCAAGCTGCCAGTTGGCACAATAGATGGCACAACCCCCACGCCTGCCCCCGGCCCGGTCCCAGCGGGCATTCATCTGGGCATGCACATGGGTCTTCTGCTCCGCGGGCTCCGTGTGCCCTGCTCCACAACAAGGGGCTGAGTGCCCTTTCCATTCTCACAGCTCTCTCTGCCAACCGCACGACCTTTTTCAGCAGCTACCCACCAGAATCTCAAACAAATACACTCTGAACTTATTGATTTGAACAAAAATAAGAAAGTAAAAAGTCCTGATGTAAATAGCAGCGCTTCTTTACTCTGTGTTTCTCAATTACCTAACAGTGTGGAGCGGCTGGATTGCCAGCACAGACATGGGAATGAACAATATTAAAAGCTCAGAGTGGACCATTTTAGCGCTTAGCACCAACTCCACATTCGGCGCGAGCCAAAGCCAGTTGCTACTTTCTTTGTGTTTGATTGTATGTTTGTTTGTTTCGTGCAGTTGCAGCAGAACAAAGGCATCGGCTTCCATTCTGCCACTGTCAAAAACTTTCTAACGTGCCCACTGCATTGCGGATGCCAACCAACGAATCAAAGGCACGCTGCAAGCAGACAAAGAGGGTTTGATGCCAACCTCCAAACCTCTAACAACCATTACTGGTGATTCGCCTGCCGCTCTGGCACAGTGCAAAACAAAATGGCGGCGCGCCGCACGCTACCACAATATGGCTGCATTGTCTCAAGGCGGGCACTGCTCAGTAACGAAGGAAAGCAACGATGCAAAAACTAAACCGAAGGAACGTGCGCCTTTTTCTATGATCCATTGAAAAAGAGAAAAAGAATGTGTGGTTTTTGGCAAAGTTTTGAGTGGCTAAATGTAGCTGATCTGTAATATATACATTACCCCTGCCTTACTCTTACCTGATCCATACCTTACCATTACCTGATGTAATGTAACACTGAATCAGAATGAAGTCATTAAAGTTAAGGGCAAGATATTTAAACTTCACTCTCAGATCTCTGCCTTCTAAATGAATTTTTATACTTAATTTGATAAAAATTGAATAATTATGTAACTGGCCTCAACAGTTAGTACTTACATATGTGGTGCAAACGAACGCACCATCTTTACTTCACAAACAGAGCCCTAGTTAGCACTGAACAGGCGAGAATGCAGCGGATGCAAAGTAGAAAACGGTGGCATCCACAAAAGACACAAAAGAGGCTGTGATGCCAAGCCCGGTGCCAGTGGCAACCATTATTGTCTGTGCGCGGTGCCTTCTGCTTTCCCTGGCACTTATCACACAAAATGGCGCTGAGGCTTTTATGGTAATGAGTTAGCCATACACCGCCTTTTCCCAAATATTGGTGGTGGAGGTTCCCACGTGTGTCAATGTAAACTAAGTGTGAGAATCTCAATGGCATTGGCATCTGAAAGCAACCTTAGTTTTAAAAAAGGAACCAGCTGCATCTTTGTTTGAATCACAATGATGAAAATGCTATTAAATGTATATTTAGAATATTTATATTTATTTTCATAGGGCCAGTGTACAAACTCATATTAAAATAAAGATCACATAATGAACTTTAGGCCATTGCGTGTCTACAATGTCAGCAGCTGTTGCTTTATGTAACTTTCAGTTCATATATTTTGACACTGCTTGAATACTGTGAGTAAACTATAAATTATACCTCTATATTCAATTTAGGTTGTTCAAATTCTAATTCTAAAAGTGGTGTGTATTTATCATTGGATAGAAACAATGGTCTGCAGGCTGTGATCGTGGGAGACGTATGCGCTCCTAGTTTATTTGTCTGGCGACAGAAGTTGTGTTCTTGGCCAGATTTGTGGTGCTGCCAAGAAGTAACACATGTGCTCCTTGACCTTGCCAAGCCTCTCTCACAGTAAAACAAACAGACTGGACTTACCTTGGTCCTGCACATAGTAAGCCAGGAACAAGTCCAGCTCTTTCACCGATACTGTGATGTGGTGCGGCTGGACACAAAGTGCTGGGTTGGTGCAATGAGGAGACTTGACCAGGCGCTCTCCGTCCGTACTTTCCAGAGGGATGCCTTTGAAGAGGATGACCATCACCAGGTCCAGACGCCACACTTTGTCGGCCTGGCGCAGACAGTCGATGCGGCGGATCTTGCCCTTCTGATCGGGGTTGGAGAGCACGCAGCACGGGCCTTTCTTACCCGTCACACTGAGGACAAAGTCCTCGCGGTACTCCTGTCGAATGTCCTTTCGCAGCTTGGCCAGGAGCCGGGACGCCCACTTCTGTTTCACCTCGGCCTTCTCACACAGGAGCTCGTCCTTCACTGCGCGCTCCTCATCCTTGGACATCCGCTTCTCGTGCTTCTTGAAGTACTTGCGTTTTCTGGCCTGGAGGTTGAACCACGTGTAGGCAATGGCACGGACATGAGGGAGAAGGGCCTCAATGAAGGGATGAAATTCATCCTGAAGCAGAGAACAGGGAAAGGGGAAAAGTAGGGAACAATTAACACACATCATAATCAAACAGAGATTTTTTAAATAATATGTATTTTCTTTCTTCAAAAGGTTGTTTCATTTTGGCTAAACATTTTTTTTTAGATGTCACTGGTAAATGTATGAAAAAGTCTGGCAGCTGAAGCTATGACAAGGAAATTCCAGTGTTTATATCAGCGTCCCCAGTACAATAGCAGAGCGCTGACTCTCACATGTGCCCCTCACATACACAGCTCTTATCAAACTCCACATTCCAACTTCCACTTATCCCACATTCGAGACACAAGATAATCTGGAAGTGGACACAAAAATAGGAAGTTGATTGCTATTAACTGGCTCAAGCATTAGCTGTACAAAGCAGCTTTCAGATTTAAACACAATACGACAAATCCAGGAGAAGGCGTCTGAGGTGAAAAAAAAGAAAGGAATTTCAAAGGTTACATTAGGTCTCAATTAAAGGCTTGAGTTAAATCTTTTAAACGTTTGAGATTAATCCAAGAGAGAATTGGCTCCTCTTCATTCCTACAGCTCTGCTTCAATAATGTTACTAAAACTGGGCATCTATACATTTGTGCACCTGTTATAAAATTACAGCATATCATTTATTATGTGCAAATTATGCAGGTTTGAGATAATCAAAAAATGGATAAAAGTCATTATTTCTGATTAATTATTATAACAATGAATATGATTGTAATTTTACCACAGTACTGGGTCTTACAAATAATGTAATTGGTACAATTTAATGCCATTTTTTTTTAAATATTAATCAGCAATTATTCAATTTTTTTACATTTGGTATTTTCCGAAAAATACATTTTGTAGTCCATGCAATAGTATAATAAAGGATACACACGTGTCCAGTTTTAGAATTGACTCACTATATAACCAGCAGCCAAAAAACACATAACATTTCATGTTTCTCTTTTAATTCTTAACTTGTGTAATTAATTGCAAGGTTATATAGCTACTTTATAAGTTGACAAAAATAATAAGTATTTTGCTCATTAAAACAACTTTCAAAAGTCTTTAGTTTGGACCAGGACTTACGGGAGATTGCCCAGAGCAGGAAACCACACACATCCACTCCCTATCTCCCTGTCGTTGCAGAGCCAGACCTCAGCACCCACTAACTTCAACTTTATACAAACACTTGAAACAAAACTATCTCCAGTCCAAGACAAAATCAGCTTTAATGCCCAATTATAATTAATTTATTGTATTATTAATATTAGGTTAATATATTAGGTTACAATAATTAGATTATTACAACACTTTTAACTCACTGTGGACCAATATATTCTCAGCTTACATTGTCACTTTAACACCCCTAAATTAAATAGTAATTCAATAGACTCCCTCTTTTAAGTCTTTCACTTACAGCAACATTTAAAAAATACAATTAAAATGCTAATCTTGTTAAACACACATTTCTAGTTTAGCCGATATACATATACAACAAAATTGAATCATGCCCAAATATGAATAAATTCCTGCCTGGAGAAAATTCATGTCTGAAGATAAATGTCCTATAATTATAAACATTTTTCATTTCAGTTTGGACAATGCTCCAAAGTAAGAACTACGCGCCTCAGTCAATCACTGACTTCTGCCAAGTAAAATATAAACACTAAAATTGAGTCAGCCAAAGCAGCCACCGAAACACCACGCTCCAACCCGCACAACGAGCTCATCCACCGCCCGGTCACGTCTGCAGGAGAGTGTGGCGTTATCACCAAGTTCATTTCTCCAGAATAGAGTAGAAACATAAACAGCGGCCGCGTCGGGAATACTCACACACCGTTACGCACCAACTTTACGCACGCTCAGAAAAGTTTGGAGATGAAGTTGAACTATTCAGGGCATGTTGTAATATATCACCAATCGTATACGTGTTATGTGATAATACACAGATTTCTATAAAAAAAAAGACACACACAAAAAGACACAAAAAGGACTAAGTTAATGCAAATAATAATACCAAAAAAGTATACCTGAGTTAGACATATTGGAGAATACATGGCGGCGGCTGAAGCCAGGGACGGTAAAAGTACGTCTTCAATTGATTTCTCCCTGATCACATTAACGTGCCATTCCAGGACCGAGGTGTACCGTTCAACACTGTGGAGCCGCCCGCGTAAAACAGCCCGAAGAAGCAAAAGCAGTATCCGTGCGCATCCGTGAGTTCCGAGATCCAGCGATTGTCAACCTCCGCGGGGGGAAACGGGAGATAATAAAGCCGAAGACAGGATCGTGTGTGCGGGATGTAAAACTGCCAGTGGAGTCGGTACAGACGCTGCGTACTCCTGATTACGTGTGGGCTCGTTGCGCGTGTCCGTGGACTGATACGTCGTTCATAAACGCATGGCGAATAGCGACACAGCCCAGTCTGCTGCTGCTGCTCAGCCCTGCTTTAGACTAAGTTGATATGAAGTCAACCGGTGCACCTTCGATCCTGAGCGAATCCAGCAAATCAAACCCAACTTTTCTCTTTTTTTTTTCACCCACGTAATTACACAGTCACACTCCTCCTCCTCCTGCTGTCGCTGCTCAGTTCACACACACACACATAGACACACACTCACACACATATATAAGCCCTATGCACTGTCCTGTGCCTTCTCCTCCTGCACCACGCGTTCGTGCATGCATGCATTCATTCATTCATTCATTCAAGACAATTGCAAACACAGGGACGAGCTTATTTCACAGAGCAGCGCAAGAACTTTTGTAGGACCCTGAGGCAGTTTGCTCAATGCAGAGTCAACAAACTCCAGTTGCCCAGTTTAACCCCAGTCAGGGCATTGAACTAGCCTTTATCACTTTCATCATAATAAGAACGGTGACATATTATCACAGAGAAACGCCATGGGGGGTTTAAAAAATATAAGTTTAGAGGAGGGGTGACGTTGTATTGTTGGGTGCATACAAACTTAACAGGCCTACTTTCATTATCTATTTATGAATTATGTAAAGTAGGGCAATGTAAGGATAGGTTATGCGTGGGGTTAAACTACTGTAGTGTCATAGAGAATGTAGGCATGCCGTTGAACTAAACTGGAGTCTTTGAGCTCCATGCGTATACACCCGGCCAGTGCCAAATAAATAACGAGGGGGACTGGGACTGATCTCAAGCAGCTACTGAGGAACATTGGAGCCAAGTTCACTGCAGATTGTGTGAGTGCTGTGGTCGGCACTCAGAAGAAGCCGATTCCACAGGACAAGGCGCGCAACGTAAGACACAAACAGCATTATAACATCATTGGAAGAGAGACAAAAAAAAAAACAACAGTATCCATGTTCACGTACCATAGCACTGTACTGCATGGATTATAAGTGGATCCCGGAGCCTGGCTGAAAGAAAAGACACAAGCCGGTTGCTTCACATTTCTCACGTTCAACTTTGTGCTTTAGGAGGGGGTTCTCTCTCTGCAGGGCTCGCAAAAAAAAAAAAAAAAAAAGTCAACACCGGAAGACAATTCTTGGCAGATAGCGGTAAAAAGAAGTTAGGAGCAGCTCGCGTTTTTTCTTTTTTTCTGGTCGCTATTCCTCTTCCAGGCTGAGTTTTTGGATGGTTTTGGGGATTGTTCAGTGGAGTTGAACGTGATCCAGAAGAGGCAGAGTTTTGGGCGCAGGGCTGTGTCTCCGCCTTCACTTTCACTGTCTGACGGTGCGCCGCCTCCAGCTCCCGCACTATCCGAGCGCTCGCACCGCGCACTGGGAAACACGACCACTTCCGCCCGGACCTTTCCAAGTAAAAGCCTCCACTGCATAATAACTACAGTACTGGACAACGTTACCAACGCATATGGACCAGGTGTCTCAAACCCTTTTTCAATGGGAGAGCTACTTTTTAGAAAACAGAAAAGGCAGAGAACTACTACTTTTACTTTTACAATTGTAGTCTAAATAATAACTACAGCCAATCATGGAGAGCCCACACAATTATACTAATGTCATATAGCATGTAAAAAGTATGTTATATAAAGATGGTTAATGTCTGTGTTACTGTATTGTGTTCAATGTCTGTCGTATTTTGTATTTTCATGTAGCAGCCTGCAAGGCCAAGACACATTTCCATTGAGTCATAAAATTAATCTTAATCTTTTTCTTAATACCTCTGTAGATAATCTGCAATACACTCAAGAATATTAGGGTAGAAGGTCATTAGCTCAGGGGGGTCTATATATTCACAGAACTACTATATGTTAGCAGCATGTGACACTATACTGTACATGTTAGCAGCACGTGACACTACTGTACATGTTAGCAGCATGTGACACTACTGTACATGTTAGCTGCACGTGACACTACTGTACATGTTAGCAGCACGTGACACTACTGTACATGTTAGCAGCACGTGACACTACTGTACATGTTAGCAGCACGTGACACTACTGTACTTGTTAGCAGCATGTGACACTATACTGTACATGTTAGCTGCATAAGGATCTGGGAAAAAGCTGTCTAAGTAAAGTGACACATTTGTTCCTAGTATTGCATATTCAATCATTGTTGCAAATTATTGTTGCACAGATACTGACACGTGAGGTGAGGTCGGCAGTGTTCATTATTTGTTATACAGTCTGACAGCAGCAGGAAGGAATGATCTGCGGAAGCTCTCTCTCGCAAGGGTGGATCAGTCTGTCACTGAAACTGCTCTGCATACACTATAGTGGACAGTTGGCATAATTACTGTATACATAAGATTGGGCAGCATGGTGCACAGCAGGGGTCCAACCTTTTTCGATTGGAGAGCTGCTTTTATAAAACAGAAAAAGCAGAGGGCTACGAGAACCCACATGCATAATACTGTACGATATCCCTGCATTAAGGAAACATTTATAGTTAAAATAGATATGTAATGACTCAAATGTGAATCATTCAGGATCATGTGTTGAGTTCTTGAATCCTTTTGCAGCTACCTGAAAGGGGGGGAGCTACTGGTTTTTTCCGAACCACAGGTTGGAGTCAACATCATATCTACTGACTCTATTGGACAGCCGAATATACAACCTTTAGAACAGCATAGAGTGATATTTATTAACAGATCAGGCATGTCCAAACTGCAGCCTGCTGTGTCACATACTGTGGCACAAACACAGTAACACAAAATTAGGCAATGAAATCATACACATACATTCTGTGTCATACAGCCAACTTCATCTCTGCCAATACAGACATGCTGCACATCATTACAAAGCTCAGAACATCATTTTGATTATTCCAACATGTATTTATGATCATGGCAAAAAACGTACATATGATTCTCATGCAGCTGATAATACTTTTTTTACATTCAGCTCAGCCAACTTCAGCTCCATTAAAAGTGATTTGTTGTGGAAAGGGCACTCTTGAAAAATAGATTATTTATCTCAATAAGGTTCTCCTGGTTGAATAAAGGTTACATAAAAAAAAAAATATATATATATATGTTGACATACCTTGTTTAAAGCTCAGAACCTCAGTCAAGTTAAAAGAGATTTACAATATGGGGCCTCTGGACAAATCTGATTTATACTGCAGAATAAACAGTCTATAGGTCAGCCTTATATTTATACACTGAGCTGGGATTCAACAAATCTTCTAATCTTCACCGTAGACTTGGCCATGAGGAACCAGATAATGGGGACTATTCCAGATTTTTTTGTATCTATTTTTGTTAGTTACATTAATAAAGACAAAAGTAGTATTGAGTGTAACGTTAGTCCCAGTTCCTCCTTTGATTCTTTTTCCCAGTTTCCTGAGAAATCTGGTGTGTTTTTATCTGACTTGGTGCTATCTGGTACATTCAGTGTTCCTCCGTTTTTGCAAGTGGGGTTTTTCTGGCTCACCATTGGCCTGGAGCATTGGCCCCAGAACTCTGTACCCTGGGCCCCCCACTTCCGCAACTCTGACGCACTGGTCAGCTGCTCAGACACCGGCCTGAGCTGCCCTGAGTCACGGAGTGCCGTAACAAGCAGAGAAACACGTGTCCATAACTTATTATCCATACACATCCATATAATTATAATAACCATAATCATAACAACCATAATAGTAATAATCATAATTTACATAATTATACCAACACATTCAACCTCCAGTCACAAACGCAGTGCATGTGGCTATGACTTAAATCAGGCTATTTGAATAGATAGGAGATTGGAGAGCATCCTAAATATACACAATTGAGATTAAGAGATCCTTTATTTGTCCCACAGAAGGGAAATTCCAATCAGAAGTTAACAAAACACAAGATATGTGAATATTAAAATATAGCACAACTCTATACTTATAAAAAATCGATTTCTTTAGCTTAATAATAAACAAAGTGAAAAAGTATTCACATGAGGTATAAACCTGTATACTCTAGTGCAGGAAATATATACTTATAGATACATCTGTAAATACATCGGTAATACAATCTAGTGAAAGAATATTGACCAGCAAACAAAGACAGCCATGCCTATCAGAAAGAACAGTGCACATAACAGTTCTTTGTTATGTCCACTGTTCTTTCTGATGTTAATAAGTTACTATTATTATTATTGTAATGCAACACTTACATATTACACGAACTGTAAACGCTGTATATTGCTTATAGATCTGACACATACCCCCCTGTGTGAAGCTTTTCTTCTCATAGAAAAGCTTTTACAGTAAAAGACGTGCAGGTGTCAGATGGTTCACGAGCGCATTGCTTGCATTGCGATGCACAAGTTACATTGTTTAACAGATGCAAAAAACAGGCTGATCCCACCTTACATTATCCATCTTCAAGGCATGCATGAGTGTACCACATGTGTTATGCACTGCAAAAACTATTGCTTTACTTCCTTTGCGGTCAAGAATGATAAATGTCTATTGTAAAGCACATTGACTGTGATAAGCAGAGCATAAATGAACGGATAGAAAACAACAGATAGCTTAAAAATGGTTGATTCACAGTCAAACAATCACAAATCTATTCATTGTCCGCGACTGTTCCGTTTGTTTACCTGCAAAATTTCTATTAAAGGAATATTCTATTTTTGTGAAC